AGATATAGACTGTGTGATTGTGAGTTTAGCCATAAAGAGCGTATAGTAGCGATATTTAAAGTGAAATTATCACAGATTGTATTGTAATAACACAGTAGAGATAAATAATTCATCTTGTCAAATTGTGTTCTAAAGTAACTGAACAGCCTGTGTTGACTTTGATGAAAGAAAGAGACAATTATTTAAAGCTCTGGATACAACCATGATAACCAACAGTATAACAAACATTTATGTATACTTTTGACCTGTTTTGATACATTATTTTAGAACAAGTGGATTGTGTGCTGTTTGTTTATTGTTGAAATATATCGCCAACAAGTCACAGACGCCTACTGTAAAGAGTCCGGCCCATACATAAAACCTGACACTACCTAACACCCCTTCCAAAAATCATTTTACCTGAGAATACCACAGAAGTTTGCTCCTATATCCATGTGAATATCTGAAGGTGATCCAAATCAGGTTGTTTTTCTCAGCCATCACATCAGTAGTGACCCTGTGACAGTTCTGACTAACAGATAAGATAATGTCTACTAGGTGAAGTAACTGATAATGGCCAGCACATACCAAATACTTTTCTCAGTTTGGGGCAAAGGACCTGCTCTGTATAGGGTTATTCTCTGCAGAGAACCGCGAACTGTCTACCATAGTTTTCCGTCTAAGTAACACTTGTAGTGTATCGTCTATACTATCTTTTAATACACGAAAATGATCAGAAAATGTAACCCTCTCTAGTGTTCTTCAATCTTAAAATTATGCAAAGTCAAAATGATATCCTGCCTTAGAACTATGTGGAACACTAACCATATCAGATCGACTATCACGTGTCTGTGGCTCATAATGATTGTAACAATGCACCCTCGTGTTAAGTTCTTCAGTACCGGATAATCCAGTTTTTGATGGTCGAGTTTATTTTGCCCCACGACAAATAGCATCTGAACTATGTCTGGATCTATCAGTTTTTTTTCAACTGGATTAGTTATTTCTGACAATTATCCAGAAGCATAATTGTTGTTGCCCACATTGTTCATTACTGCTGCAATCTTTTGAAGGGTACATATTGTAAATGAACATGATTTTATCAAGTCAGTGAGATAATCCTTCAGTATTTCCAGGCTACTGGACTGATTATTATTAGAGGCGTGAGCATCCAGCATCCTTTCTCAAACCACGCCAAAGTGTGTTTCAACTCTTCTCAATAAAAAGAGAAATGCAGTTTGAACAAATTTGCCAAAAACTGCCAATAGCAAGACAGTGAACATAGAAAGCTACAGACGTTTTGTTTGTTCTCTGGATGGGGTCATTTTTTGACCATGGCGATCTTTGTAATATCAGAGAAAATTCTTTCTTTATTTGCTATATGACTAAAAAACAATTTTCTGTGCATTAATACACACTTCCATAGTTTTAATATATTGGAATACCATTTTCAGGTCTTCAATGGCAGCCGGCAATCTGAGACAAGAAACCAAAATATCATCCATTGGAAAGAAGTTTTCCTATTGCAGCCCTCTCATAAACACCATCAGCCTCTCGAGTGCTGAAATTATCTTTAAGTCTACTTTCATTGTCCAGCTTAATCTGCTAATAGTGGAAGTCATTTCTACCATACCAAAGAAGAAAGTACTTTCCAGTGCATTTGTGGCAAAGGAAAGGCATTAACACATGTTACTGCATCTACTTACTTGAAATTTAAGCAAAACCTTGGTGCTTCTTACTTCTTCTTCATAACAACTATTGGAGATGACCAAGCACCCAACAAAGATTGTATTACCACATCCTTCAATATCTGCCTGATTTCAGTCCTGTAATGTTTCAGATGCTTCATGAAAGCCTGCAGAATGGTTTTTAAATGGAATATACATCACATTTATATATGTAATGATGTGCTATTGTTGTTCAATTAAGCTGGTCATCTGCTTCCACAAACAGATTAGCAAACTTCACGAACAATTCATTTAGCTTCTGCATGTTTAGCTCATATCATTAGCACATTCCTCAAACAGTAATCTCAGATGCTCAGAAAACCACACATTCATATTTTGATGAAAAGCTGAATGTTTATAGTTAGAGAGCAGTACTAGAACATCGAGAACATAAGGACTGATAATTAAGCAAGTTCAGGCTGAGTTCTGAGCATGAAACACTGTTTCACGCATTGGTTATTACCATAATAAATGGCATCAGTACACTAGACCGCATATACAGCACATCAAAATCATATCCTGCATGTCTGGAGGTATTACTACTTATTTTTCGACATTCATGTGCGAAATACAACACTCCTGGGCCCAGTTGAATCAGTACTGAATGGTCTTTCCATAAAACTGCAGTTCGTTTGTTGTACAGGCAAAACTGACTGACAGCTTCCTCAATGAGTTAATTTCTAAAATCACAATGCCAGAACCAAGTAAAAGAAGCCTAGCTATATTTGGTGAGTGACATTGCCAGAATAACAGTGGAGATGCACCTCTTCTCTCACATCTTCCTTGTTACTGTTTGCTAGGATGATGTTTGTGTTAACTGGCCAATATAGTGGCTTCTTGAAGTGCCTGATACACAGTAAGATTGAGCAAGGTCGTGGCTGCTCCAGCTTCCAATAATAATTCAACTACACATACCATGTGATAGCAAGTCATGTTTATCCAAATCTGCAACCATAATGTTTTGTAGCAATTGCTTGCCATCGATCCTACTGCATTTGCTTCTGATATTATTTGGAATATAATTTGCATTTACCTATCATTTTTAACAATCCAAAATCAACTGATCTGGTAAACCACCGTTAAAACATGGGTTACATCTTGCACAATCTAGGCATATCTAAGAAATTCTTCTGATGTAGTCATGGCAAGTAGGCCTGAGAAGCCACGATAGCTACATCACAACGCAATGTAGTAGTTACAGCTATGGAGCTGTTGCTCGAATTTCTGTCAATCGTTGAGAAACATTACAGACCGTTCAAAAGTATAATCAGCTACAGTATATATGCTGATGTTTTTTCTTCTGTTTATATCCAATATATAAGGTCAACTCTGCAATGTAATCCAGCAGCAGTTATGTCCTACTGTTTGAGTTCCTGCTCATTGTAGGGCACCAAGCACTGAACCATTCAAGCTCAGTATTAGGCCTTACACCACCTGTCGCTGAGCTCAAGAATTCCTGAAAAAAGTATGATTTAAATATTTAAGAAAATTGTCTAGGCCCTCCTTCATAATCCTTTAAACACTTGCAAATTAACCTGCTTTGCATCACCAAATGTAGACAGGTACCTATTGCCCGTGTCTTTACCACTGTGCATTTGATACAATGTTAGTGTTCGAGGGGGCCCTTCTATTCTTTTAAAAGTTTAGAGACACATACACCCTAATGAATGTAGTATTCTTTGATTAGGTCAGCAACAGAACACTACCACACATAAAGATATGTGTCATATTTGAATTTCATATCCACTTTGGCAGTTGGACATAGTATCAGGGAAGCATCAAATCACTTCGGTGGTTTAGGTTGTTCCTGTTCACAGGGCAATAATGAGCTGCTGCTGTTCCACCTGGCAGTGTCTTAACTCTTCTTGGAAGTAGACTTTATTCAGTACATACCTCATTTGTTTTCTTGGTCAGAAATAACCCTGACTGGCAACTAGTGGTACTTGGGCTAGACAGAATATATCTGAGTGTCCCAAACTGGTAATCGTTATCATGATTCATCCTTGCTGCTCTGTGCTACTGTGTATGGGAGGTAATTTGTAGAGATCATGTTAGTGTGGTGATCAAAGTCTCCCCTAAATGTTTTCAATCTTTTGCCCGCAAAAGATAAGTAAAGAGTGTAGACCTAGCTTTCATTATGATTGGTGAAAGTCTTTGATCCAGAAGTGGGCTTTTTTTAGTTCTTACCCCAACTGCAACTTCTTCCTCTTTCACAAGTCTTAAGAAATAACTTTCTATTGTTACACCTATGTGATCGTTTGTTAATTTTCCTTAAAAATTATTTCCGAAGAAACTTTAGCGATACAAGTTCTTTCTTAAATAAATCTAATTTATTTGTTCTCAATACAACTTTGCAATACAATTAATTTCCACAGTCACGCTATAACTTAAACAAAAGCTATAATTCACAACGAACGATTCACGCGCTTGACTCAATCGTCCGTTTCTATCTCTGTCTACAATTCAATTCCATTGTTGCCGTCACTTCTTGGCGGTCTTATATACAAGAATACCGTACATCTAGTAAACACTCGAGCATTCAAGAACCTTTGAGAATATCATGACGTATAAGTAGCGTACCTAGTAGCGTTTCAGATATACACAGTTATCCAATACACAAACGTAATTATACTTGTAATCGTTCATGTGTTTTCAGTGGTGCTCACCCAACATTAAAAAATAACCTCATCACAATATAACAGCACATCAAACCTTATGCCGAACGTAATTTGATTATTATTGTATTTTCTAAAACTAAATTTTAATATAAACGTTGAGCGCAGCACAAGTAGCTCATTGTGTAGCTTTGTGTTTAAGAATAAAAGAAGCAAAATATAAACATATCAGTTTAAAGATCAATTCTTAAAAAAATTGGTTGAAGCATTAGATTAGTAAAACATTTAGATGCCTAACTTCTTTCAGCTACAATTCGCGAACTTCAAAGTATTATGTTTAATAAAATATTCTTGTGTATCTAAACCATGTACAAGGTTTTTGTTTGCTTTGTTTTGAAAATAACACACATGAGAAGTTTTTACTTTATTTGTGCTACAAATTGTTTTTGTGTATTTTATTATACTTTACAATGCATTAAATATTTAAGAAGTAAAATTGGATGTACTGTTGTATTAAATTTTATAGAATAAGTTGATTAGTCGATATTATGTAAATATTATAAAATGTTACACTTTCGAAAGCAAATCTTTATCATATATAGAATTAGTTTGACACTAATTCCTTGGAAAATTAATTTGATTTGTAGTAGAGGGCGTGTCCTGTTATTTCTTATGACTAATTAAGCAGGAAATGAATGAACTACAACTAGGATTTGGGAGCGAGAACAAATAATGTTTTGTGGTTTAAAAAACTTTGTGCAATGAGGTCTCTAGAAAATGTCTAGGTAAAAGCCTTTGTTTTTATTTAGCTAGGTAAATAATGTATCGAAAGTAAACTTGTATCATAATTAATGGCCTTTTAATTTAAGCCACGTTGAAATTTAAAATATGTTCAGGTTCACAATATGTCTCGTTCAGTCAATGTCAATGATATTGACAATTGAAATAATTATTATTAGGCTTAAGGTAAGACTAAAGTTAAACATTAGCTTACGTTAACTTAAGTTGTATAAAACCGCAACTGTGCCAGTGCATTGGACCTAGTATAGTGGTACTGGTAGTAGACGAATATGTATACAATATAGTATTGTAATTGTATAGACTTAGTATTACTGATAATGATAGTAATACTAATAGTAAATAACTAAGTAATAGACTAGCGTGGCTTTAACTATAAGTTTAATGTGTTTAACTTTAACAAAGGCATCCTGTAGCCTTTGTGACATAACCCTGGCACTAATAATTTATAATGGTACGATTATGAGGACAATTATATTCAAACAAATGTTTTGATAACCTTATGTATGTGAGTATAGTAACATAAAATACTATTAGTATTTTAAGTTAAATCAACCTAGAATTAAAAATATGTTTAAAAGAAGAGACACACTACCCATTTCTATGTGTTTGTCGGTTGTATATAAATACACTTCATGTAGCTTTAAGGCTACCTATTTTGGTAAAACTACACATCACCTAGAAATATGTGAACATGAGCATATGGAAATTTTGGCAAGTAATTCACCCTAGCCTTGTATCCAATTGCACAGTGAGAATAACAACAACTCATACTTCTAGAAAAATTTAAATTCTCGACTCAGGAACAATAGATTACGAATTGTGTATTAAAGAAAGCCTCTCTATTTTTAATGATCACCCAACACCGAATAATAACATCAGCTCCTCTCTATTGTCATTTCAATTTCAGATTCTCAGTGTTTTTATTTGATATTTATTATTATTTTAATGATAAAGTGTTTATACTTATATTTAAGCCTTTCTCTATAGTAATTTCTCTTAGTCTTAATGTTTTTTATTAAATGTGTATACTGCACGTTTTATTAAACATTCCATTGTATTGTTACCATTTAACTCTCTTCTTTATAAACTTCCAATTGAATACAAAACCTCTCGATGCTAATGTTCTTTTTTTATAGTTTGAATATTACAAACTAACTTTTTTGAAATATTAAGGCTGATGATGGAATTTAAGGAAATTTCGAAACATGTGTTAAAAATGTTTTTGGTATTACAGTGTTTTAATATTTCTTATAAGAGTTAGTACTTTTATCCGGTTAATCAGTAAGTTATCCAGGTCTGCCATCAGTTGAGGAAATTTCTGTGAATCAGTATTAGTGTATTAGGCTACAATAATTTCAGAGTTTTGTTGAAAAGTCTACAACTTGTATCAAATTGAACATACCCTATAGCAAATGCTAGAAAAGAAATTAACTACTTTGTTGTTGTGGACATTAGTTTTACCAAATAATCCAAAAGAAACCAATTACAACACTTTTGTCAGAAGTGGGATTATTTTGGTGAAAATTGAACCTTGAGTAAACTTCAACTTTCAAGATGACCTCAAGAAGAAAGATTGGAAATTTATTGAAGTTGATTAAACAGTTAAAAGAAGGTTAAGAATAGAGAGAACCTGGAAATGAAAAGAAAATCATGGAGGAAATAAAACATTAGAAAAAACAAAATTAAAAGACAACCAAGAAATTTATTTAAAATATTAAAAATATCAAAAGGTAAGACATGGCAATTTAAGAGGAGAAATAATATTAAAGAAAAATTATAAACAAAAAATAAGTATAATTGAAGGCAAGATCTATAAAGTTATTGGAGATGTGCGAGGAATTACAACAGTTAGATTGAACAAGTACGAAAGGATATCAATGAAGTATAAAAGACATAAGAAGTATGAAAGATTATAACCCCAAGATCAGTAAGGTAGGAATCTGGAAAAAATGGTAAATGCAAAGATTAAACCAGCCACATCTTTTTCTGCATTGACCCAAGCATTCCAACCTATACCATCATCTACTACAAAGTATAAAATATGAGAGCTTATTTGGTCTACATCTATTACTGCTGTGCCATTTGTTATTGCAACCTTCCCAGACTACTACATCCATGACACTACCCTATCCAGTTCCAGAATTTAGCTGGCCAATTCATCAGCATTGCTTGATTAAGAAAACAACTGACTATGATGGAAAGGTACCATAGGAGGAATATCAGGCTCATTTCAAAATCATTTATAGAGGGAAAGGGTAGATTGATGAAGAACAAACTATGCATCTTGTTGCCCCTTTAAAAGGACCAGCTTTGATGACATTAAGTAATTTTCCAGCTGAGAGACACAAATATCAAGTAACTGCTTATTCAACAGGTTTGGAGTGGCACACCAGAAAGAAGTATCCAGGGCAATATTTAGGAATAAGGTATAGAGAAAGAAGAGACCTTAGCCAAACTTGTAGAAGATCTGGAAATACTTGCCCCATTATCTTACTCAGATGTTTCTTGTGAAATGATGGATTCATTGTATGTGACCAATTCATAGATGTAATAACAGACAAGGACCTGAACATTAGGATGAAGCACAGTAGGTCTACATCTTGAAAAGAAACTCTGCAGTTGGCAATGGAACTGGAATCCATTGAAGTTACAGATAAACTAGACACACCTTCTGATACAATACATAACCTCCTTTCAAATATTGCTTTCCCAATTCAGTGCTGCCCTTTATATTCGAAATTCCACTTAATCCCCTGTGTTTCCATGTGATATTGCTGCATTGTAGCATGCAACAGTCTTCCACCAATAGGAGTGTCACACCACCTCCTAGCACAGCTGGTTCCCTCAATACTGATTGTTTAATAATCATTTCTTGATTTGGCTTTTGTGTTAAAACTTTTTTTTTGCTTGTGAGCTTTATTGAAATTGCCATTTTTTTGTACAATTATCTACTCAAAGCCTTTTGTTGTGGAAAGTTTATTTTTGAACTTTTAATTTTATAACTTTCAAATCATTCTGTATCTGCAGACTTTCTGGGCCCTTTTCTTTACACATTATGAATTCTCAAGTTAATGTTGCTTCTACTTTATCTGGCATGGGACAACAAGTTCTTCACATTGGAAAAACAATAACTGTGGTGTTGGGTTCATTTTTGTCTGTCAAGGAGGTGATAGTTATCGTGTGATGGGAGATGGAGTCCTTTATGCAGCTTGGACCTTCTGAGCCTGAAACAGATATTTCTCTACCTGTGAATCCAGGTTATGAAGATGAGGATATTGATGGCCTTTTCCTTCCTCCTACCTTTGCCAATACTTCTACCACTACTTTAACTGATTTCCCTGGACCTTCCTCTTCTTTCTTGGATATAATTTCCTAGGTTTGTTATATACTTTTCTTGTGTTATACGATTCTTCACCTTCTCCTCATCTAACTTGTGTTTCCCCCCTCCTTCAGATACTTGGGTCCATCCTAAACAGTTTGATCTCAACTTTGTTCTGGTGCCAGCATGCCTCGTCCTCCTTGCTTGGTTGATACAAATGCCTGAATTCCCTTTCCTGGACACCCAATATTTATAATCTCTTCTACAGGCTTGGAGTTCGGATCCTCTATTTTCTGTTTCCTTTCTCATGGCCAATTTTCCTGCCTTCATTATACCCTTACTACCCTCTAATGCTGTCTTTTTTCTGAGGCAATCTACCATTACCCTGAGGGTTTTTTGGCAGATACTAGTTCCCTTATCTTCTCTACTTTGATGTGTTCATTTTCCTTATCACTTCTTACTTGGTTACTCTGTTGCTGGGATCAGTTGGGGATGGACACCCTTCTTGCTCAGGTGCATTTGCCTCTCTCTTATCTCATAGGCTTCCATTTGGCTCCTTGTTTTTTTCTAGGGTGTTTTGGGTAGAGTTCTTGATCATCTTGAGTCGTATTTTGAGACTGTATACTAACATTTTTCCTTATCCTCACTTGTTTTCCATCTCTTTCGAACCCCTTCTTTACCTGTTTCTGTCTCCTGTCCTCTGCTTCCTCTTCTTCCCCCTCCCATTCTGCTGCTCCCATCTGTTCTTCCACTGTTTACAGACTTCAGTGCTGTAAGTCTTAATGGTGATTATTCTCTAGACTTAGGGATGGTAGGGGTCTGTCCAGCTTGGTTTATGGATCTTTGGCTTCCATTTGCAGCCAACTGTTGGGTGCTGCAAGTTCTGTCAGAGGGCTTTACTCATAATTTTTCTGCTCTTCCTCTTATCTCTTCTCTCTGTTCCTGTCTGTTCTCTGGGAGATTCTGTTTCTTACCAGCATCTGTCAGTGGCAGTGTCAGACCTATTGGCCAAAGACACTATCGAAAAGGTTTCTTATCTTTTTCCAGGATTTTATTCCCATTTGTTTGTCATTCTAAAGAAAACCAGGGATTGGCATCTGGTCATAGATCTTTCAGATCTCAATTGGTATCTGGGCCTTCCTTGATTTACCAAGCAGAGTTTTCTCACCTTCTGGTGGTTCTTTGCTCCAGGAATTTGGATGACCCAGGTGGATGTCTCAGATGCTTATTTCCACATTCCCATCTTCCCAGCATCCAGACTTTACTTGTGGTTTGTTTTTAAGATCAGTTACATGCTCTTCTTTTTGGCATTGCATTAGGACATTACACTTTTTGCCAAGTTGTGCTTGCTTTTGCTCATTACATTCATGGCTAAAGACTGTGGTTCAACAATTATATGGATGACTTGCTTCTTTTAGCCCCATTCCAACAGGCTTCCAATGACTACACTATTTTTCTTCTTCGGCAGGCTATGCATCATGGTTGGTTGATCAAGCTGGAAAAGTCTCATCTCACACCGACTCAACATCTGGTTCATTTCTGTATGTTCTTCAATTCACATCTCAGCAAAGCCCAACCTTCTCCACTTCGTTTCAGGGAGCTGGAGTAATTGATTTCCATTGCTCTATTGTCAACTTCTCTTCCTGTGTGGATAATTCTCTTCTG